ACACTTACAGACAGACAGTCACACACACACACACACACAGTTACATACAGACATTCACACACACATATTTGCAGGCAGACAGTCACACACACACACACACACACACACACACAGTTACAGACAGACATTCACACACACATATTTACAGGCAGACAGTCACACACACAGACACACACACAGTTACAGGGTCAGGCAGACAGTCACACACACAGACACACACTCTTACTTACAGACAGTGTGGGCTGGAGGAGTGGATTCCCTGGCCTGAAGTCCTTCCCTGGAGCCTGGTAGGTGGAGGTGCAGGGATTTCTTCTTGCTGCACCTCCATGTGCAGCATTAACAGCAGCTTGTAAGGGCAGTGTTAAGCCCCGCCCCCGCTTGCGGTTAGGCTCCGCCCATAAATGGCAGTAGCTCCACCCCCTTCTTCCTCCCGTGCGGCCAGTTAAGCTTGCTGGACTCCGTGTGAGCTATGTGACACCCCAGCGGCCATGGGGCACAGCTCACACATCCCCCATTAGCCATCAGACCAGGGTCATGGCGAATCATGCGGGGGCACAGGTTATGGGGAAATCCCCCCCAGCTCCGCCGCCCCCCCCATGCTGCAGCCGCCAGAGCGCTCTGTAGAGAGCCTGAGGCGGCTGCAGCTTTGCCCGGGTGGTGCGTCCATGAGGGCGGACCGCACCGCCCGGGCGCAGCCTGAGGAGAGGGGCTGACAGGAGGGAAGCGCTCAGCGCTCCCTCCTGTCACTCCCTCACTGTAGCGTGGCCGAGCCCTGTATCATGGTCCGCGGGTACAGGGAGCCTCTGTCTCCTGTACCTGGCCGGACTAACAGGAAGTGCACACTGAGTTTGCACTTCCTGTTAGTCCGGCCGGGTACAGGAAACAAAAGCTCCCTGTACCCGCAGACCATGATACAGGGCTCGGCCACGCTACAGCAAAGGTGGGGGGGGAGGAAGAGAGTGACAAGGGGGGGAGAAAGAGAGTGACAAGGGAGGGAGGGGGGGAGAAAGAGAGTGACAAGGGGGGGAGGGTGGAGAAAGAGAGTGACAAGGGAGGGAGGGGGAGAAAGAGAGTGACAAGGGAGGGAGGGAGGGGGAGAAAGAGAGTTACAAGGGAGGGAGGGGGGAGAAAGAGAGTGACAAGGGAGGGAGAGAGATTGACATCCATCACACACACACACAATCGCACAATCATGCAAACCTTACACACACAGAAACACACAATGCATTCCTTACACACACTAAATGCACCCCGTACACACACTCAATGCACCCCTTACAGACGCACACACTGCATCCAGTACATACACAGAAACACACCTTGCAGCCCTACACATACAAACACAGATTCACACAATGCATTCCTTACACACATATCAGGACATCCCCTACACACTCCACCACCTGTGAACAAACTCATTGGTGGAACATGAAGGTGGACCCTGGGACCCAGACCTTGAGCTGTGTAAAGGGCCCCCAAAAAATGGAGCTGCTTCCAGTTCTCCCAGAACATTGATTTTTGTGACCACAGTTACAAACAGCCTCCAGAGAGCCTGTTCTATACCAGACCAGTGGAGCCAGACTGCAGCTAGAGCCCATCATCATCCTCATCTGGTTGTAAGTAGGCAATCTAGTATATTATTCGTGGCACTAATCTCTAATTTACCTCACATTAAAGAAACACTATAGTCCCCCTATTGCTCCCTGCTCGCACTCTCCTATTAAGTCATTTTGAGAGAGAGTGTGATAGAGAGTGACAAGGGAGGGAGGGATGGAGGGGGAGAAAGAGAGTGACAAGGGAGGGAGGGAGGGAGGGGGAGAAAGAGAGTGACAAGGGAGGAGGAGGGGAGAAAGAGAGTGAGCGAGGAGGAGGGAGAGAAAAGTGAAGGAAAAACAAGGGACAGGAGGGGGAAAAGAAAGTGACAAAAGGGAGGAGGGAGAAAAGAAAGAGAAGTGGCAAGGAGGAGGGAGGAGGGGGAGAAAGAAGTGACAAGGGAGGGGAGAAAAGAAGTGACAAGGGAGAGGGAAGGGGAGAAAAGAAGTGACAAGGAGGGCAGGAGGGAGAGGAGAGGAGGGGAGGAAAGAAAGTGACAAAAGGGAGGGAGGGAGAAAAGAAAGTGACAAAGGGGAGGGAGAGGGAAAAGAGAGAAGTGAAAGCAGGGAGAGAGGGAAAAAGAAGTGACAAAAGGGAGGAGAAAAGAGTGACAAGGGAGGGAGAGAGGGGGAGAAAGAGAGTGACAATGGAGGGAGGGAGGGGGAGAAAGAGTGACAAGGGAGGGGGAGAAAGAGAGTGACGAGGGAGGGAGAAAGAGAGTGACGAGAGAGGGAGAAAAAGAGTGACAAGGGAGGGAAGAGTGACAAGGAAGGGAGGGGGAGAAAGAGAGTGACAAGGGAGGGGGAGAAAGAGAGTGACAAGGGAGGGAGGGAAGGGGAGAAAGAGAGTGAGAAGGGAGAGAGGGAGAGAGGAGGAGAAAGAGAGTGACAAGGGAGGGAGAGAGATTGGCATCCATCACACACACACACAATCGCACAATCATGCAAACCTTACACACACAGAAACACACAATGCATTCCTTACACACACTAAATGCACCCCGTACACACACTCAATGCACCCCTTACAGACGCACACACTGCATTCCGTACATACACAGAAACACACCTTGCAGCCCCTACACATACAAACACAGATTCACACAATGCATTCCTTACACACATATCAGGACATCCCCTACACACTCCACCCCCTGTGAACAAACTCATTGGTGGAACATGAAGGTGGACCCTGGGACCCAGACCTTGAGCTGTGTAAAGGGCCCCCAAAAATGGAGCTGCTTCCCGTTCTCCCAGAACATTGATTTTTGTGACCACAGTTACAAACAGCCTCCAGAGAGCCTGTTCTACACCAGACCAGTGGAGCCAGACTGCAGCTAGAGCCCATCATCATCCTCATCTGGTTGTAAGTAGGCAATCTAGTATATTATTCAGGGCACTAATCTCTAATTTACCTCACATTAAAGAAACACTATAGTCCCCAGAACCACTGCAGCTTAATGTAGTGGTTCTGGTGTCTATAGCCTGTCCCTGCAGGTCTTTTAATGTAAACACGGCGGCACTCCAGCACTGGCGTTAGTTAACATGGCAGATCATATGGGTGGGGCATTGTGATGTCACATGGGGGGGGGCGGCAAACTTTACTTTTGCCTAGGTTGGCAAAAATCCTTGCACCGGCCCTGGCCGAGTGTCACGTGACTACCCGGCGCCCAGTTTGACACTGCGCCTGCCAGACGTCCAGAGG